TTCTTTTTTGATTGAGTTATTTTGTCATTTAATTTCTTGATGCTCCTTCTTACTCTGTTTCAGTCAGTGAATTCCTGCATTTACTCTTTTTTGTTTGCTTAGAAGATATCTCTATGTATGAACGATTTCAGTGCAAAAATATGTAAAAGGGAGAATTTGGACTTTGATTTTAAGTTTTAGCCTTTAGACAATGCATTTCCAGTTTTACATTCGATAGTGATGCCACACAGGTTTATCTGAGTGTGTTCATAACGTTAAGAGATGGGTGGAGATGCTATCTGCTCCTTCTCTCGTCCATCTCTCTCTTTTCTTTCTTCTTTAGAACGGACAGAAATATGAGGCATCCCTTTCACGCTAAGTAAGGAATTGATCTAGAATCGATGAAGTGTTGACGGCAGACTAATTACTTTAAGATAGTTATTTCTGGTGCTGTGATTGGTTTAATTTGAGCTGAAATTAGGGTACGGAAGCAGCCAGTATTGTACCATCTCTTTGATAATATTATTTAAACACTTTAATTCTCCTCTTTCAAATCTTGTTCGATTTCTCCCTCTGCATACATGCCCATTCTGTTCCCTCTGTTGTCTCATAGGTTTATGGATCAATGATCAAGGGGGGGTAAGGTGACCTTCCTCTGACCGTCCAATATGAGAGCTTGTTGGATAGAGCGCTGCCTCGTCCAAAGACGAAAAATGCCTCTAAGGCACAAATGTCTTTACCACCAGGAGTAGAGTATACAGTATTCACTATGCAAATACATGCATGTGTGTCATACAGTAGTTAGGGATGTACAATGGAGTTACACCAGCTGATCGAGGATGGCTTTACTTATTATGGAAAAAATGGGTTTCTTCCTCAACTGTTTTACTGTAGCTGCCTTCAGCATAAATCAGATTCTGTCTCTATTTTGTGTAAAATGTAAGTTAGGTTAAGGCTTTGGCTGAGGCAAGTTTCTATTATGAATAACCCTCCAGGAAATAAATGTTAATACATAAAAAAGCTTAAAGAGACCTTAACCTATCCTATAAATGTTTGCAAGCATGTGTAGAGAGATGCCAAAATTATGTTGGTATGTATGTGTGCATTAATTAATACTCTAATGACGATGGAAAGAATATCTGGGATGTCTCTTGACATGATGAATCACTGGGAATGATTGCCCTACACTTCAGTTCCCCTCAGCTTTACTGAGCTTGGTACAGTCAGCTTGTTGTTTTAGTTTAACAGTATTCTACTATAAGCTTCAAGTATTATTGTAAATAAGTGGTTACGAAGCCTCGTTGACTGGGACCCTTTTCTCTAACCCACATCACACTAGTCTTCTTCCCTGCAGATCTTCCGCTTCTTTTCCCAGTCACAGTGAACAAATGAACGTGAACACAGCCATTACTATTTTAATAAATAATGAGACGAGGCAAATTAAGTTATGTGAACGTGATTCCAGTTCTAAGTATATGCGTAGCACTTCATTACTCAGTGTCAAAACTGAAAGACTACCAAAAGAACTTAATAAGGTGATCATTTGTCAATGTTGTGTTTATAGCTTCTCCTGCTGCTCCTAACTCAACAATGTATTCTGGTAGATGGCAAAGTCTTTAACCTCCAAATGGAGTTATATCGTTTTATAAATGTTTCACTTTATTCAGAGTGGTAAGGGATCAAATCCAAATATGATATTAAATCCCGAACATTTGTTTGCAATTCAATTATGATTAAAGATAATTGACTCTTTAACTAATGCCTCTGTTTTCTGGACATTTCACAGAAAACATTTCAAAGCTTTAAGACCAGTGTAACACTTCAAATAATTGATCACAGTATTGATCTTCTGATGGTTCCAACATCTGTCTCTCTCTAACTACTTGTGACTCGTTTCTATGAGAGCTATCTGCTGTGATTGGCTTGTGGCAGCAGGGCAGAGTAAATTATTAAGGCTTTCTCTTTATTTGACCCTAAATGCTCCCACCCCCCCTCTCTTTCTCTCTCTTTCCATCTCTCTCTCTCCCTCATGTTTTCTACTTCCTCTTCTCCCTCAACACTCAGCCCATTTAGAAAGAGAGTGAACAGGATGAGAGGGCTCTGCAGCGTGGGGGGGGGGGAGCATAAAGGGAAAATATCACAGAGACATGTGGTGTGTGTAGATGGGCAGAAATGGAGAAAGAATGTCAGTAGGGGAAATAGGAAAAATAGCTATTGGAAAAACTAGAGAGAGAGGGTGGAGTGACAGAGGGATGGTTAGGATAAATTGCACAACAAGCACTTTTCTCCCTCTGCCACCTGCCCTGCAAAGAGACCTGAGTGCATCATGCAAAAGCAAACGCATGCTTACTAAAGAATAGAGACTAGTGGGTGTGCAGTTGGCTGTCATAGTGAGGTGTTTCACAAACAAATGTGTGAGGGCAGAGAGAAAGGAAGAGAGGAAGACGAAGAGAGACAGTTAATGACAGACAAAGAAAAATAATTGAGTTGTTTTCATGTCCATCAATAATTCAGTATGTGTATTATTTCCTGTTGTGTGCAGCTGCAAACTTCATGCATCAGCAGTTTTAAGGAACGGCAAACTATCTGAGTCAGACACTCTCACACCCACCCACCCACACAAACAGGAGGATTAGTGATCATTTGTGTCGTTTAGCACACAGAGGTGTAATTTATGTAAAGATGGGATTCTTGCTATGAGAAATTCTGACCACTGAAAACACATGGGTTGGTTATTAGTGTACCTTTTTTATCGGTTTCTCATTTCCATTTATCAGCACCTATACTTAGCATAACTCTTCACTGCAGCTCCATTAAATATAAGTGCACCATCTCTTTGTGCTTCTGGCAGGTATCTTAATCTTCTGACTTTCTCTTTTTCTGGATATAAGTAAAGCTACTCCTTTTAAGGTGCTTTTAAACTTTATGTCCATGTCAACAAAGGATATATGCCTAGTGTGAAAGTGATCGTTTGCACTGATATACATTATTTTGGAGGAGGGAGGTTTTGCTTTACTCTGACCGCCCAGGTGGCTGTTTTGAATACAAAATTAAATAATAGATGAACCCACCTACCCAGCATCAAATTGCAGTGAGACACATTGTATTTTGTCTACAGGAGTTGGTGGAGACCAAACAAGAACTAGAAAAAAATGTAATGTTGGACTTACATTATTTCAGGTTTAAAAACATGACTATTAAAATGCAAATGTCACTCTCTGTAAAAGGCAGCTGTTTGTTATGCAGTATGGTGCCCATAATTAGCACAAATATCTGTAAAGAAAATATCTTCCTGTAGATTAAAGGCTGGACCAAATCAAGCCAAGTTATGGTTAAAGAGGACATGACCCAAAAAACGAGAGATGTTGACTAAAGTGCTTAAAACCAATAACAACATTTAACTGATCAAAATGAAACTGAGTTTATACTGTTGGCAAGTTTTGATGACGTTGCATGGTGCTTAAAGTTACGATGGTGGGATCTGAAAATGGTTCAAAATGGAGAAGATGTGACAGTGAAGGGTGAACCAGGGTGGGATTACACTTGATCATCTTTGCACTTTGGACTGGGCACTTGTAATGGCAAAGAGGAACTGATCTGAGAAAACGAGATGTAAGATATAAGCTTTTGTGAATTAATGCAGTTGTATTAAAAATCAAATAATGGAATATTAAAATCAATTTGATATTTGACTGGTAAAAGAAGGCACAGAGGGGATTTCTTCTCTCCTGTCGTTACCTGTGAGGAGTCTTGCTACTTCTTTAAAAAAAAGCTGTAATCCCCAGGTATCTTTTTAGCACTATAGTATATAAATGCAGAGTCATGCTTCACTATTTTGGGGACCAATTTTGGGGATTTGTTTACGCATAGTTTTCATGCTGTGTGGATATTATTAGATGATCTCTGGTAGCCATTGTTCTTCTGTATCTGCTGCTGCTGTTGGAGGGCAGGGTATGATTTGTCGGGGGGTCAAATAATCTCATAACATCTGCTCATAAACTTCTGTTTGTCCTGCAGCAGCAGAATTAAATGTCATAGTTGAACAGGTGTGCACACCAAGGCCAAATGTCAGGCCCCGACAGATCAATGGCTGCTCACAAAAGGTGTGTGTGTGTGTGTGTGTGTGTGTGTGTGTGTGTGTGTGTGTGTGGGTGTGTGTGTGTGTG